CTCCGCACCGTTGGCACCGAACCTCATGAAATTCGTCAAAAGGCCAAAGTCGGAGGAACACAGGTCCCGGCAAACCGGGGGCTCCTCCCTACGCCAGCCACGTGCCGCGGCAGAGCCGGCCCTGGAAAGGCACCCGGCGGCGTTCGGAGCTGGGGCAGCGAGAGCTGGGCAGATGTCCCGAGGACCAGCCCACCCCCGGGGGGACACGTCACCTTCCCGCCATGCCTGCGCCTGGGAATTCACGTCCCCAGCACAGGGGCGCTGGGGACAAGCGGGGACCGTGGACTCCGTTTCATCCTTGCGGCAGCTCTCCGGCGTGCAGGGGGACGAAGCAGAAGCAGCCCCCCGCCGTGACAAGACCCCTGCCCCTCCCGCCTGCTGGCACCGCGTCAGCGCTGAGATGGCATCACTTGGCCAGGCAAGGCAGGAGCAGCCGCGGCACCGCAGCGCCGGCCATTCAACCTCTCATCCAATTACCACATCCCCCTGCGCCAGAGACGCCCAAATTACGCTCTAATGCCGGGCTGGGTGGAGGTCTGCTGCTGCTGGAGGCTCGCCTGACAGCGCCATCAAACATGGCAAGGGCCTTCTCCTCGCTGGGGAAAACAACTGCCCCTCGTCATCGCTCTCCATCCAGCCGGGCTGGAGGAGACAGAGCCCGGCTCCAGAGCAAGGGCTTGTTTGAGGTGGGCAAGCTCTCTGGGGACTGCAAAAAAAAATAAATCAGAGGCTCCCTCTGTTTTTCTGTAAGGGGCAGCTAAAGCTTTGCCATCATGGGAGGTCTCTAGACAGGTGTTTCCAGCAGCGGGGACAGCAGACAGGGCTGAGGCTCAGCTGGTAAATGGCCAGAAATGGGAAATGGGGGGGAAAAAAAGCAGAGGCTTTCTAAGTAATGAAGCAATTTGAAGGTGCTGAAAATCCTGCTGGTCTGAACGGGACAGGGAGGCAGCCAGAGCGTACCTGCCACTCCTGCTGACAGAGCATCAAGCTTTGCTAAACGTCCCCGATGCGGCCAAAGGGCCACAAAACCGCATCTGTCCCTGACCTGGTAAGTGCTGGGATTTCTCACGGTCTCCTGCTCCAGAGCCAGCACAGCAGGGAGCCTCCCCCCGGCACCGCAGCAGCCCCGGGGCCACGGCAGGGCCATCCCGATGGCAGCACCCTGGATGGCACAGGGAGGTGACAAGAGGAGACGGGCGCTCGTGAGAATGGCAGAAGCAAGCGAGGTGCCGCCAAGCCCTCGGTGAGCTGCTGCCAAGGCGGCTGCACTCCGGGAAGAGCGCGGCGAGGCTAGAGGCATCCCGAGGGCGGACGCAGGAACACGGTGCTGAAGAGCTGGTCAGAGACGTGTTTTCACTTCGAAGCGGAGCTGACAGACTTTTTACTTGACTTTTCACACCTGCAGCCTCAAGCACCCCACAAAAAAGCCCTGGGAGAGCTGCGAGGAGACCGCGATGCTCAGGCTGAAGGGGAGATGCTGGTGCTTGGCTGCCATCAGTTTACCAGCAGCGGAGAACTTGCCTCCACGGCTACGCCAGGGGCTTAGGGCAAGAGAACCCTTTTGGGAAGCCCATGGCTTGGAGCCCGTGGCTGCGGGGAGCGATCCCTGGGCTTCACAGGGCAGGAGGAGCGACGGCAAAGCCGCGGCGCTGTTCGGCCACGCGCACAGCGAGGACACGGCGTACAGAGCCCGTGGCAGCTCGCTGAAACGGGCCGGCTCGTGCAGGGTGGGATAATTACCAGGCGGTGGTGATTTAGCAGAGACTG